GTGTGTGTGTGTGTGTGTGTGTGTGTGTGTGTGTGTGTGTGTGTGTGTGTGTGTGTGTGTGTGTGTGTGTGTGTGTGTGTGTGAGCGTCAGGCTGCAGCTGATCTCTTCACACTCGGCTTTTATTAGCAGCAAATCCTCCTGATGTCACGTCTCCCTGATCTGCTCAGAGATAAGACACTCTACACAACCCCTAAAGAGCCCTAAAGCCCAACGGCCTTTAGTTAATGAGGAAACTAAGCTATAAAATAATAAACAAATACATCTATAAAATAATTTATAAATAAATCTATAAAATAATAAATAAAAAATGTATTAAATAATAAAATAATACATCTATAAAATAATAAATAAATACATCTATAAAATAATAAATAAATACATCTATAAAATAATTAATTAATAAATAATGAATCTATAAATAGAGTAATAAATACTTATTATTTTTGTCAATTATAAAATAAATAAATAATGTATCAAATAATAAAATAATAAATGTATAAAATAATAAATAAAGGATACATTAATAAAATAATAAATAAGGAATACATGTATAAAATAAATCATTGATAAAATAATGAATAAATCAATAATAAATTCATAAGATAATAAAATATAAAGATAAAATCATTTTAAAAACTTAAATCAATTCAAAATCAGTGTCACCAAAAATAAGACGACTGCTAGCCTTGTCAGTTTTCTATGACTTTCATTTTTACCACATGTTCTTTAAGACTTAATTTATTTAAGACTCTAACTTTAAGACTATAGGCTGGAGGAAACTGCTCGGCTGGACCTCCTTCAACTCACTGAAGTCCAAAAATGGGTAAATAATCTTTAGTTTTATCCACATTAAACAAAGTTGGTAAAGTGGAAATAACCTTTATGAACTCTCCTTCGATAAAATTTCAAAAACTGAAAGTCTTTTTGAAAGTGTGCCGTTTGTTGGTGCTCATTTAAAAAAAATATATATTATTTTTTTTAAAGTAAAAGAAGTGTAAATCTGATCAATACGAAATTATATAATTTATATCTATATATATTTTTAAACAAACTGGTGGATTTTCTTCTATTTGGACAATTAAGAGTTGAAACACTTTTGAAACATTTCAGGAATAAAGCATCCCTATCAGCCGGCTGTAATCTTTTCAATTCCTTATAACGTCAAATTACATATAAATATATATATTGTTTAATATAATGTGTGTTTTTCTGTCAATTATGTGTTTACAACTATTTTCTAAATACAGTGAAAAAGATTTAAAATGTTGATAGCTCACCATGTGGTCCAAGTCTAGCTTTTTCCATCAGAATCTCAAATTCAAACGAGCCAATAAGAGGGCGGGGCTTGATCAGACCAGTGGAGCTGACCAATCAGAGCAGGCTGGGCTCCTGCAGGGGCGGAGCTTCTGATTCAAAAAGAAGTAGCACTCATTCTGAGCTCAGCTTTAACTACAATAAACCACATTTAATGATAACGGTTTCGTTTTCACACCAAGAAAAAACAAAAACAAACATAGTTTAACGTCATTAAAAGTTAAGAATATGAGTTAGACTGGAGAGCCAATCAGAGCTGTCCGGCTCAGTCCGTCTCTAAAGAGTTTGGCTTTCCTCTTTTCGTCTTCAGGAGTTTCTAAAGGCTCTCGTGATCTGTTTTTATTGGAGTTCAATCCCGGACGGATCAGAACGACTCCGGAGTCTCTCCACACTTTCCCGGATGAAAATGGAGAAAAAAAGACTCAGACTGAGAGGAGAAGACGATCCCAGGGTCCAGTTTGGTTTGGAGCTGGTCCACAAAGTGGACAGGAAGTGGAACCAGCCACCTCCCGCCATCCCTCCGTCCTCTTTAAACTTGAAATTTTCCAAATTTACGTCAGAAAAAGTGAGTTTTTCCACGTAATGGCAGCGGATCCGGACCCGTCTGGAGTTCCTTTAGGCTGGTAGCAAACGGCTGATTTGTCTTTTTGTTTTTTGCCCTCCTGGGCCTCCGTAGATCCACCAGAGACCAGATACAGCAGAACCTCCACTGACCAACTATCCAACATACGGAGGGGAATTTGGACCAATATTTGACTCCACACCCAAAAAACATTTCTGATGTCATAGAAGAAAAATTAAATATAAAAATTAAATTAAATAACTAGTCTAAGTTAGTTTAAAGTCAGCCATGAGGAGGTTTTAATGTAAGACCTGGAAAAATGTATATTTATACAGCAGAACCTCTAATTATGAGGCCTAAACGGACGAATTTGATCAAATATTTGACTAGACATAAGTTGATATCATAATAAAATATACAAATGAAAAATATTATTAATGAATAATAAGTGTGTGTAGGTATCCTGTGTAAAGTCAGAGTGAGTTAGGGCTGGTCCTGTATCTCAGTCTCCACCTCTACCTCCGTTCTTCAGTCTCTGAGCTAAAGGGACAATAAAAACCCTTTTTACTCATTATTTCTGCATCATTTATTTCTTTTTCCATCTCTCTTCTAGAAGTCATTTGTTTTACTGCTATGTGTGATTATCTGCAGTATTTATTAAGGAGTTATCGTAGGTTTTTGGAACCAATTCTAGGAATTACAGAGTATTCTGATGGAAGATTTGAACCAACACACCAATATTTAACACAGAAGTCGTCCTGGAACCAGTTAGACTCTGTTATAGAGGTTCTGCTGGATTTATCTGTATTTCTTATCTGTTTTCTGGTCCAAAACTCCAGACTTTTTGGGGTTTGAGTCCTTTAGATGCTGGTTTAGCTCCTGGGGGGCTGTTTTTTTATTTTATTTTACATATTTTCTTTCTTTTAAATCTATTTAGGGGACATGTAACCGGATTCTTTCTTTTCTAATTCATATTTCAAATTATTATTTTCAAATTATTTAAAAAAATTGAATAAGTCAAAGGTTCCCAAACTCCCAATTTATAAACTTATAATTTCCATTAATTATCTGGAACCAATTCTAGGAATTAAAAACTCTGTGGAGGTTCTGCTGTACTTGTGAGTTTTGCTGGAGACAAACCGAAAGCTGGCCTCTGATTGGACTGTGTAGACTCCACCTCCTTGGTCCAAACTCCGCCCCCTCGGCCCAGGCCCCGCCCCCTGGGCTCCTGGGGGGAGACTCCTCGGTCAGCAGCAGCTCCGGAAACACTTCTTGAAGAACTTCTTGAACTCGGTGTTGAAGATGGTGTAGATGACGGGGTTCAGGGCGCTGTTGACGTAGCCCAGCCAGGTGACGGTGCTCATGAGGGCGGGGGGGATGGAGCAGCTCTCGCACAGGGCCTGGGTGGTGTGCACCACGAAGAAGGGCGTCCAGCAGAACAGGAAGCA